TCTAAGCCAGGGATAGCCAAGAAAATTGTAGGTTCCCAGTAAGCTCCTATCATATACACTATGATAAATAGATACAAAATAACACGGCACTAGATCTTGAACACTTCCTAGTTTGGGTTTTGAAACTTAGGTTAATCACTAAATTTCTGTCTGTATTTTCATTCACTCAAACAGAAAGCATTTACATTTATATGACCTTGACTGTACATTGGAATCACCTGGGAAGATTTTGTTTAAGTCTCTTAGGCACTGAGACCCTGATTTAATTGGTCTGGGGTAAGTTCTTGGCATAAAAAAATTAACAAAAAAACCCCCTCCCTTGGGATTTTAATGTCTAGCCAAGGCAGGAAACACTGGTCTATTTCATCTTATGTATGTATGAGGGACGGTAAAATGATGTAGAAAGCCCTCCCTTCCTTCTTCTTTTGAAACTTGTCGATTTCCCTTAGGTCAATGTTGTTTTAGCTCATTTTGAAACCATTGCTTAATTAGCAGAATATCATCTCTGCTATTTTTAGCTCATTTTCCAACCACCGCTTAATTAGCAGAATAGCATCGCTGCTTTTTCCCTTCTTCAAATCTCTTCTCCATCCAATAAACCACCTCATGCTTGTCTAAATAATCAATTTGGTTCTGAAACATTAACCCACTAAGCCTCATTGTAAATACAGTGTAACAATGCCATCAAACAGAATTATCCTGAAGAAAATAGTGTGTTGCTGTATGTATATGCATGTGTATGTGTGCATGTATAGCCTCCAAACATGCTCAGTTTTCTTCATATCTGAGGTGTCCACTTTCATTTACATAAAATGAACATGATATCTGTACTAAAAAATATTGCTTCTAAATACTTCATGGATACATTTTGTCAAAACAAAGGACAAGTGACTCATGTACTGATACCTCATTTAAATGAAAAAGAGAATACCACAAAATCTATTTACTCTACCTGATCTTGATATGGTCTCAAAAAAGAATATATATTTAAATGACAAAAATATTAAGTGATTGGCTTTTCTTTTCTTTTTTAATTTGTCATTTTTTTAAATCTACTTTTAAATAAAACTACTTTGTTCTAATTAACTCACAAATAAAAACATTTTTTATAAACGCAACTGGTTTAAGTACGCCATTCCAACACTTGCCCAGTCCCAAACCCTGTTCATTTCAGTGAACAGCCATACAGTTGAACTGGTCACTCTAATGTGACAGAGCTTCACTTAGGGTTTTATACTTTTACTATCAATTACATTTTTATTCACTTGTCCATCGCAAAAAAAAAAAAATTACAAAACTATGGCAGACTTGAAGCCAGGAAAGAAAAATGTGTTTATATGCTCTTTCATGACTCATGTGTTCTTTTACCTGCATTCCATCCTTTCTCATCACCTAATATTAATTAGCCTTTGTGGCCTTTCTAAATGTTACAACTCTACCCATACTTACATCAGTTAACATATATACACATACACATTATAGTCTAGGAAATAAAACTGATAATCAACAAATGGGGTAAGAAAATCAACAGATACTTTTTTTAAAAGAAGAAACACAAATGGCATGTATTTCTCAAAGTGTTTAACATCTGTAGTCACTGGGCAAATGCAAATTAAAACTGCTTTCAGACTTCACCTTACCCTAGTCAGAATGACTATCATCCAGAAATCTAACAACAAATGTTGGAGAGGACGGGGTTGTGGGGGTGGGGAGAGTAATCCTTATTCACTCCTGGTAAAATTCAAATTAATACAGCAACTATGGAGATTAGCTTGGAATTTCCTCAAAAATTAACACAAAACAAACAAACAAATAACCATATGACCCAGCTATACCACTCCTGGGCATATATACTCAAAGGACTGGAGCACGTAGGGAGTTGCACGTCCATGTTTACAGCTGCTGTACTTACAATAGCAATGAAAAGGAACCAACCTAGATGTCCAATTACAAATGAATAGATAATGAAAATGTGGTACACACAATAGAATGCTATTCAGCTGTTCAGAAAAATGAAATTTGCAGGCAAATGGACAGGCTTGGAGAGGATAATATTAAGCAAAATAACCCAAACTTAGAAAGTGAAAATCTGTGTATTCTCCTTCATATGTGTATCCTAGCTTATAATAAAGCTGAGTTATTTTAAGAAATCCTATCAAGTGGTTATTCATGCCTGTAATCAGGTGAGATTGAGTCAAGAGGATTATCTCAAGTTCAAGGCCAACCTGGGATTCACAGTGAATTGAGTGCTAGCCCAAAATACAGACTATGTCTCAAAACAGTAGCTCGGGAGAGTAGGGGAAATGACAGTGGGTAAAGTCTTGTCAACAGCATGACAACTGGAGTCCAGACCCCCAGAACCTTTGTAAAGGGCAGACAGAGTAGCTCAGGTATTTGTAATCCCAGCACTCCTTTAGGGAGGTGGGAGAAAGAGACAGCAGAGTCCCTGGGAGCTCAGAGGCCAGGAGAGCCTATCTTAAGGTAGAATTGATACACAAGGTACTCCTCAGATGACCACACACTGGCCCTGGCACCCATGTGCTTGCATTCATATGTGCATGTTTGTGCAAATGGGTATCACACACAAAGGAGAAAGCAGAGACAGAATGAAAAAGAAAAGGAAGAAAACACAAACAAAAACACACCTTCCTTGGTAGGTAATGTGTTTGTGAGGCAAGCATGAGTATCTTAAGTTTAATCCCCAGAATCCACATAAGAAAGAAGAAAGCTGGGCATGGTTGTTTATTTGTAACCCCAGTGCTGGAGGTGAATTCTCAGTGTTCTCAAACCGGCCAGCCTAGCCTACTTAACAATTCCAGAGCAGTGAGAGTCCCTGTCAGGAAAAAAAAAAAAAAGGACTGCACCTTAGGTTGACCTCTGGCCTCCACACTCATGTATGCATTTACATATGCACCCTCACACATGTGTGCAGTGGCACACACACACATGTATACACTCCAAACGATAAACAATATAGACACTAGTAAAGATTAACATGGGAGGGATCTGGGTATTTAGAGTTCTTGAATGGCATGTGCAAAACACTGCATCACCACCAATAAAAAGATTATGGTGAGTTAACTGTTTACCAAGAGCAAACAAGGCTCTGTGTTGTGCTGAAGCTTGCCTCAGAAAAACAACTGAAGGAAGGCTTTAAAAGCAAATGGTTATACCTGCAAAAAATGATGGTCAGGTTTGTGATAAACGTCGTTATACAGTAAAAGCAATATAGAATGGGAACACTGAACAAATATATGCCTTTAAAGTTGCTCTTCATATCCTCAGGGAGAGTAAGGCAAAACATAAAAGGAAAATAAAGCCAGCACTGTCAAATAAGTAGTAAAGTCAATAAATACCCTGGGAATTCAAAGAAACTGAAGACTGCTATGGATTATGGAAAAAGATTCTTGGAAAGTCTCAGGCATGAAGATCGCCTCATACAATGATGAGGCAGAATTACACAAAATATATATTTGAGGGGCTGTAAGCTGACCTGGTTGGAAGAGAAGGTAGGAACATTTGTGGAGATAAGGTTGCAATAATTAACCTGGGGCCAGATAGTAACAGCCTGAAATGTCTAGCTAGGATCCTTAAAGTTTGTCCTGCAGGTACAGGTTATAAAGAACAGTACTCGAAAAAACATCCTGGAGCCATTTTTTCTTGAAGCTTTTCAAGCACACACCAAGGAGCATATCTTGCCAATATCTAGCCATGAGTCTGTGAATAGAGTGTTTGGGAAATCTGTTCTGAGTAAAGGTGTAAACATTCAAACCTGTTTCCCACAATATAAAATCAGGTATTGATTATGCATTCATAGTTCTTTGGATACTGCCTAAGACAACTACTGAATAGGAAGCTTCAATTTTAAATTTTTCCTCTTTTTGCCATCCTTTGCCAGTACACATATCTTGATTCGGTGTCTAGAAACTAAAAGCACTAAAATTGTCTTCTTTATAAATAAGGTTGTTTACTACTTCTCATTATGCGTGAATTTACTATGTTGCTTCAAAATCACTACATCAATTCAAATATTTTGGTGCATAATTTATTTCAGCAGGGTAGATGGAACACATAAACAAAAAAAAAGATTGTGAAAAGAAAATAAAACTTTCAGCAAACCTGAACAAAGCTAAAAATGAGCAGCACTGCATTAGAAGAGAGTGAATTCACAGCAACAACAACCAAATGCCAGCCACAACAAAGACTAACACAGAGTACAGGATAATCCATTAACCATCAACTCCATAAGAGACAGATTTTTTTTCTCAAAAATCCCCATTCATTTTTTTTTTTTAGTTTTCTGCTATAAAAATCAAAACTAGCATCACCCCAAAATGGACTACCTTTCATCCAGTAACTAAACACTTGAGTGACTGACGTTTTAATTTGCTAGTGGAACAAACACTAATCTAACCACCATCACCTCTCAACACCAGGAAAATGAAAATAAAATAAAATAAAACTCACTCTGTAAGGCATAGGTAAGAAAAAAAGAGACAAAAACATCCTAAGATGATTAAACAAATCCACCATAAGAACACACACACAAACAGCAAGCCTTACTCTGAAAAGGACTATGCCATTCTTGCAGGCATGGATGCCTTCAAGGAATATGTAGAGATTATGATTTTCTGCATTGTCTGTTCCCAACTCCCCTCACTCCCTCCCACCTACTCATGGTTGAGGTGGAGAAAGCTAGGACCAAGAGTTGAAAGAAGTGCATTAAGAAAGGTGTCAATAAGTCCCTTCTGCCTGGGTGCAACACTCTTTTAACAATAATGCCCCTAACATCCCAGCCAGCTTCTCCATCATCCCTGGGCTACTGGCGCCCCTCTTTTCCGCTGCCTGCATTGCCCCTCACAGTCAGAGGAGGCTGCAAGGATTCCGGGACTCCCGCCGCCTCCGCGCGCCGGCCCAGCAGAGTCCAACAAGGCAGCCACGCAGCCACCCACTCCCCATCCTCCTTGCAGGCCCCGCTTCCCCTCCCCCCAGCCTGTCACCTGCTTGGGTGGTGTCCGTCAGGTCGTAGCCGCTGCCTGGGAAGTCTCTGAGTTTCCTGCCACTGAGGCTCAGGATGCCAGAGTTCCCCGCCTCCTCCAGGGCCCGGTCCAGGCTCCTCACCGTGTGCTGAGGCTGCAAGCTCCCCGGGTGCCACTGCGGCCCATTGGGGAACGGCTGACCGAAAAGAGTCGGGACCGGGATGGGCACCGCCACGGTCCCGCCACAGCCGCCACCTCCTCCCGCCCCGGCCCCGCCACCTCCTCCTCCACCGCCACCTCCTCCGCCAGCCGCGCCACCGCCACCGCCGCTTCCACCTCCACCGCAACCGCCGCCCCCACTGTTCCCACCGCCTCCCTGACTCGCCGCCATGTTCCTGGGAGAGAGAATAGCCCCCGACAATACTCGGAGTCTGGGCCGCGAGTGGAGGGGGTTCTTAGGACGCATGCGCAGGCTGGGGGTGGGAGGGGGGGCGAGAGAGATGGTGGGAAGGAACCCCGGGCCAGTGGCTAGGAGGTGTCGCGCGCACACAGAGGACGTTGGAACGTGCTCAACGTTTGTTTAAAGAAAACCAAGGATCCAAGGAAGGATGCTAAATCCAGGGTCCGCTGCTTTGGGTACCAAAATCTTAGCGAAGAGGTACCAGGCTAACTGGAGGTTGCTTGGGCTCTGTGCCTCCTCCCCCTGCCCCCAAATCTCTCAGATTGCTTCGTCTTCTCGGTCTGCAAAACAAAAACAAAAAAAAATGTGAGATGGGGATGAAAGGGCTTCTTTCAAGATGAACAGAAACAGCTCTTGGGAGGATTAGAAGGCAAGTGACTAAGAAACTTACTACAAATGCCTCAGGAATCATCTTTCCATGCAAGTATACTAATAGAAACATTGGGGAGAAAATGAGTACAGTAGTGGGAATGAGGCAGACATGAATTCTGCTAACCTTTAGAAGCCCAAAGTAGGAAAAGACCTTAGATGTTTTCAAGGGAGCTTCTCCTTACAGCAAGTCTCAGCCAATGTGCTGCCTTCCAAACATGGAAGAAGAGCTCGCCACAGTCTGTTCTATTACTCTTTGAAGTTGTTCCAAGAACTCCAAAATATGTCCAGTTTCTTCTCATCACGTCAGTATTGGATGATAAAAACGCTTTGATCATCAAACAATCTTATAAAGTATTTTTTGAAATACAGGTTTTGGTTTAAATGGAATTCTGACGATTTAATGCTGGGAATTTGAAGCCAATCAATCATGGGGTTTAGGAATTTCTTCTTACAACTTAGAGAGATGTTTAATGTAGAGGCCAAGGAAAGCTGAAAGTCATTTATGAGGTATCTTGGGGCCTCCATAATCTAACCCAATCTATTTAGGCAGATAGGTAGTGAGCCCTTTAAGCTGCTGCTCCGATTTCCACTATCTGTTCCTCTCCCAAAGAGGCATTCGAATCCTTTTACTAATACTCAATGAAGTTACTGCAGAAATGAACCAGAATGCTTTGGCATGTCCCCTTATCATCACTTTCAACATTTTGTGAGCATTAGTCACATCTTTGTGAATTTGAACAATGTACCACACAGTCTCAGAGAATTCTCTGCCATCAGAAAATTGATCTGCCATAGGCTATACTTTGAAAAAGAACACAGGGAAGAAACGCAGTTCCTCAGAGTGCCTGTGTGGCCATAGAGGGTTAATTTAAACGATTATGCTAAGAGAAATTGCACTCATCTTGTACATGAATCACAGAAAGAACAGGGCTTAAGCTGAACTTTATACTGAGAAATTAGCAAGTAAAAATGACTTATTAAACACAATGGTAAAAGGTGGAGGTTTGCCGGGCGGTGGTGGCGCACGCCTTTAATCCCAGCACTCGGGAGGCAGAGCCAGGTGGATCTCTGTGAGTTCGAGGCCAGCCTGGGCTACCAAGTGAGTCCCAGGAAAGGCGCAAAGCTACACAGAGAAACCCTGTCTCGAAAAACCAAAAAAAAAAAAAAAAAAAAAAAAAAAAAAAAAGGTGGAGGTTTAACTCAATATAGAGCACTTGCCTAGTGTAAGGACCTGGATTTGGTCACCAATACTGGACAAAAAAGACCCCCAAACAATCCCCCCCCATTTTTAAAACTGCAATTTGTATTTTGTCACTGCCCAGACTGCCATCCCAAACAGTGTACTCAGTAAATCTGTTTTCTTCCAAATAAATAAACGGAACTTCTATCACAAACAAATATTATATCTTATACTTCTCGTCCCTTTTATTTCAAATCAAACCAATTATTAATTGAGGATTTCCATAATTAAGAAGGATGGAGAAGCCGGGCGGTGGTGGCGCACGCCTTTAATCCCAGCACTTGGGAGGCAGAGCCAGGCGGATCTCTGTGAGTTCAAGGCCAGCCTGGGCTACCGAGTGAGTTCCAGGAAAGGCGCAAAGCTACACAGAGAAACCCTGTCTTAAAAAACCAAAAAAAAAAAAAGGATGGAGAAAGAAACACTAAATTCCTTAGTTCCTTAGTAAGAAAAAAATTAGAAAAGGAAATATTTTAAGAATTACCCAGGGGCTGGCTCAGTGGTAGAGTGCTTCCCTAGCATATGGGAGACCTCAGGTTTAGTTCTTAGCACTACAAAATAAATAGAGGATACTGAGTCAATAAGAATTTCTGAAGTTATTTAAAACAATACTTAGGCTCCAGTAGAAAAATGTCCTGAGGATAAGGATACTTGTTAACGGTAAAGGACCGTGAACAACCAAGTTTAAGAAGGAAAATAATCTTCCAAAGAATAAAAAGACAGTCTAAGTAAGAAACATGTGAAACATTCAAAGTTCTCTAAATATACATGAATACTAGGTACAATAACGTTTGTAAAGCTTTTTGACAAGAACACCAAGTTTCAAAGGAAGTTAATAGATTTAGAACAGTTATGAAGTTCAGAAAATTGTTCCAATCTTCCCGTATACTTGGAAAATGAAATTTCTGTGCTTCAGTGTCTACACATGACATTAGATAAAAATAATACCCGATAACAAGAATTAAATAGTATTTGTCACTGTTATGGAATATTGTTCTCTGATCATACTAGCCATTACCATTTTAATCAGAGTAACTAGAGTTACCCACAAGAAACCCCCAAGACCCAGCCTGTTGATGTTCCCTCATATAAAAGGAAGGGATGAGAAGCATCATCAGATCCTCACTGAGATTCCTACCACTCTTTCTAGTGTCTCATTCCTAGTTATATGTAATTCTCCCCAAGCTGCACACGGTCTCAGAAAGGAGCTAGCCCACTATGTATAGAAGGTCGAACATTGATTGAAGGGGGAACACCATCTATACAGCTGTGGAAAAGGCATTAACTCTGTGGTGAGGCATTTAGTGATGTGGCTATTTTGGGGTGTGCCCCACACTCCAACAAGTAACCCCTCATTTGCGATCTGTAAGGAAGCCCAATCACCTCATTGGTTCACCAAGGTATAGTTGGATAGAATCCTTAGTTTGATCTGTCATTGGTGTCCTCTCTGAGATGAGGTGCTGGTTTACATTTCTTCCCAGGAAATATGCAAACACAGCATCCAGGAACTGCTTAAATTATCATTTGATCTTCCTAGAATTCCCAGAAAACTGGTAATATGACTCATAATTTGTACATTGTAGAAAACAGTCCATATTTTGCTTTTTTTTATCAGAATGAATCAAATCACATATGTAAAATATGCAAGCACAATACCAAGCATTCACTCACCCATTCAATAAATATATACTGAGCAATTATTCTATGCAATAAATATTCTAAAGGTATGTAACAAATGTTACTGTCTTCACTACATCATGAACGTTCAAAAGACATGAGATAACCAAAATATACAAAATGTAGAAATCTAAGCGGAAAATGTAGTTAATTCATAGATAATTGTGAGTAAAGAGATGATAATACATTGCATAATTTTTATTTCAAGTCTTTAACAGGATATAATATAATGTTTAACAGTTTGATATTATCCCTGAAAGGACACATTGGTAACTGGATAGTTAAGGCCAATACTCAAAATTATTCAAGCCAGACTTATGAAATGAATGCTGATAAACCACTAACACTGAATGGCACATGTCAGAGATAATGCAAGGAAAACAAGGAGAGAATTTTGAAAACACATACTCTTTAAGCACTAGATGAAAGCAAATGCAATTTCTGTTCAAAAGACATTGGCAATACCAGGCTACTTTATACTCATCACTCTTCCAAATTAGTAGTTATTCAGCAGTTATAAATAATACAGAGGAGGAAAGAAACATTTTTTCTCCACAGCTAGAAATTTGCTATCAAAGATGAAGATAAGTGAGCTACAATACAGAATTTTCTTATTAATGTGTAAATTTAAAAAAAAAACATAAGTTTTGATGTAGGATCTAGAACAAAGCAACAAACTAAAAGTTCAAAGCATAATATGAAAATTTTAAAAATCCTATTCATATTCAAGGAAAGAAACAGAAATCACTAGTCTATTTCTCAAAAACATCAGCACAAATTCTAAATTAAGAGAAATAAGCTAGGGGTATAGCTCAGTAGTAGAGCACTTGCCTAATATATGAGACCCTGAGTTTGAGCCAGTGAAATGCTGAGTATCATTAAGATATGTATCAGGAACTCAAAAGAACATATTAATTAACCTGTACTGAAATGTTTTGCACCTGCAACTGAAACATTATGAGCAATGCTCACCACTCCAGAATTAGAGAAATCTCTGAGAAGTGCATAATTAGAGACTTGGGGAAGGAAGAAGTTCACATGGTCCTCCTAAAGTAATCCGAATGTCAGTCTCCTCCAAGAAGCCCTGTTCCTAAAGAGTGACCAAGAAGTTATAGAATAAATTAAAGGTGTTATTTAAAGATGACAAAGAAGAATCTGAGAGTATACATCCATAGTAGTGTACTTTAACATAACAGTACGAAAGACATGTCACTCAGACCTTCTATGCTTCATATTTTAACTCATGGAATTTGAGCAAGCACAGAACTCCAGACAATTGATAAAACAGTGGATTTGATACTATTAATCAGCTACTTTTCAGATGTGTTAACACTATCATAGGTTTGTTGAAGTAGATTTGGTTTGGGTTTTGGTGTTTCTACTTTTTTTCATTTTTGTTGCTTGTTTTGTTTTAATTTCATGTGTGTAAGAGAGAGAGAAAAAGAAACAGACAGAGGTGAGCATGGGCCATGTGCATGACACACTGTGCATGCGGAGGTCAAGGGACACCTTTGTGAAGTCTGTGCTCTCCCTCCACTGTCACTTTGGTCCTAGGGATTAAACTCAAGTTGTCAGCTTTGCATATCAAGAGCTTTATTCCCCGAGCCATCTTGCCAGCCCTTGTTTTCCTCTTGTTTGGGGGGAAGGGCTGGCTGAGGAA